TGTCATTGGTGAAAAAGATGGTCTTTGCTCATTTTTTTAAGTAGAAGAAAGGCATGGATTTAGATGATGTACATATCTCTAAGCCAGCCTATATTATGTTGCCTATATTGTGTTGACATTATTAGCCTATCCATGGGAGTTAGTCCTAGAGTCTCTTCAAAATCTTTGAGACTTAGTCTAGATTTACAGGTTTTACCATGTCAAGGTGATCAAACGGCTCTCCTAACCTTGCTCAGAACCACCTGAGGATTTCAACCTCTAGACCTAAGGTTCATCAGTCATCGAGAGATTATCTCATAGGAACATGATCAAAAAGAAAGAAAGTTTATAAAAAACTTATAAAAAACATATTTCATTCATAAGAAGTGAATATAAACACTCGATGCCCTCTGAAAATATTATAAGCTTGTTTATATAGACTTACTGACTCATTACAAGACAAACTCGAATAATTACAATCCATCTACTTTCAGTAAGCATGCTTGTACGAAAGGTAGATTCTTAATGGATAAGGCTCAAAGGTATTGTGTCATCCATGTAGCCGACCCCACCTAGTGGGATAAGGCTTTGTTGTTGTTGTTGTTTGTAAAAGTAGATTCTTAATGGATGATAAGCATTCTCTTTACTTAAAGATAGACTCTTGACTTAGTGATATGTTGGGGTCCTCATTAGAATCATTGCCAAAATTGGTGTCTTATTCAAAATATCACTAAGTTATGAGCCTATCTTTAAGTAAAAGAAAAGGCTTATTCATTAGGAATCTACTATGAGTACAAACGTGCTTATTTTTGTTGAGTACCTTTACTTTATGCCAAGCATCTTTTTATTCATGTGCCTCTACTTTTATAAAGTAATTATTATTCAAATTTGTCTTGTAAGCAGGTATCTGGTATTTTAAGGGACCATCGAGTGTTGTATTCACTTCATATAAATTCATATGTTTTCTATAAGTTCTTTCTAAACTTTCTTTCTAAAAAGCTTGTAAGCAAGCATCTGGTATTTTGAGGGGCCATCGAGTCTTGTATTCACTTCATAGGATTCATATGTTTTCTATCTGCCCATAGATTCAAGTATACTCTATACACTTGCCTCATATGAGAATCTCATGCATCAAAAAGAATCTCTGGATGACTAATGAACTTTATAGGAGTTTTATAAGCTAAGGTTCTAAGGGGGTCTGAGTAAGATTAGGAGAGCCATTTGACTTACCTTGATATGGTAAAACTTGTAAACTTCTAGACTAAGTCTCAAAGGTTTTAAGGAACTTACCTGTACGGATAGGGTTTAGAGATGGATGATATCTAAATCATCTAAATCCATGCCCTTCTTTTACTTAAAAAATAAGCAAAGACTATCTTCTTTACCAAGGACACTTAAGGCATTGATCCACTATTTACCATCTGACTCAGACCATATTATTAGTAAGGATCTCTTACATTATAAGCTTTTTGAATGGAGGTCAATTCTTCATATCTAAATTATCCATGATAGAAAAGAAAAAAAGGCTATGTTCTTTAAATACTTGGAGGGGTCAATTTTTTTTTTTTTTGATGCACCGGAAAGCAAACCTGGAGGGGTCAGTTATTGTGAAGACAAAGAAAAAGCAAAACAAGATTATATAAGGAGCTAACTATCAATACGAATGTACTCTTAAAATCTACAGAAAGACAACTGAGAAAGATTTCCTAATAATAGTTATAGACATAATAAAGACGAACCAACACTCGAAAGAATCACTGACAACATTATGTTGTAAAAATAAAAATAAAAAAGATTCCTACTAATAATTCTGAAAAGAATATATTTTGTAAAATGAAACGCGAGTTACGTTACTAGAGTTGGGGATGCTCGACTCTATAAAGCATTGCAAATCTCAAAATAGTATCATCAAAGAGCAGAGCTATCCATGAGAATTTCAATAAAAATTCCCTATTTCCTGACTAGTGTTCTCTACTTTATTCTCCAATTCTATCATTTATGATTATCAACAATGTTTGGATAACAACAATATAAGTTCTATCATTCAAGATTATCAACAATATTTGAAAGCATCAATATAAAATATGTATGTTTTAACTAACCTTTCTATCAAAGGGTTTAACGTCAAATATTATTTTACCGTTGAATAAAAATTAAACTCATGAAAGAAATATGGCAACAACATTTTACCAAGTATGAGAGAAGAAAAAAAAAATCTGTTTGCAAAATGGATAGTTCTCACCTGCTTCATAAGCTTTTTTCACTTTCGAGACCGATCACATTCCCTAAATGGACTTGATCCCACTTACCTTTGTGCCTGAAATTATAATGCCATAAAATCAATGAATGAATCATCGCAGATTTCAGCACAGAAAGCTAATTTGTAATCCTAATAAGAGAAATCCATTTTACGTTCATCACATAAGTATTCATTGAGTAGTAGATAAATTGCAAAGGAGCGCCAGCAGAACAACAACAATCACCAAGATAAGATCGTACAAGAAGCACAGAAGATAAAGAGAACAACTATCATTGTCATGGCGACAAGAAATTTGATGCCAAAAACAGAGTCTAAACAAATAAACAAAGCAAGAATGGCAAGCTCTCTTTGCATCCCTCAATCCTGAAATCGATGTGCATAAGCTAAAAGAAGAGATTCTACAATAACAAAACCAGTGCCCAAGACATTAACATACCGCTTAGATCTAAGCAAACAATCATATTGACATCATTACAACCGAAGAAATTAGAGGATTTGCAATTTATGAGAAAGAGTTGAATGTCAAATGCCAAAAACAATAGAAACGAAAACAAGCAGCTTCAATCGGTGAATCTTAATCCTCTAAGACTAAATAAACAAACCCAAAGAAATTCATCCAGAGGCAACAAACCGAGGTAGACAATAACCCAAAAGATGAAGATATATAATGAGAACTATATTCTAAGAAATTATTGGGTAGTGCCAAGCAACCCAGCAAAGTGTATATTGATTTAGCACAGTGGGATAAGAGCGAGCAAGAAGCACAGAAGAAGAAAGAGAAGCGTACGTGACGCACACTTGGGAGCTTCTTCTCTGTGTTTGGGCTTCCTCTCTTTGCGCTTTTCAATCTCCCTCTGCCTCTCTGCTCTCTCTGTTCCTCATATTATTCTGATGGTAACGAGCAATTTGATGTCTCTTTGTTTGGGCCATTATAAAAGAGAAAATCGAGCAAAGAGGGGATTGAGAACATACGTTTTAGATTTCTATTTCAGATGAACTTCCTCACTGTAATTGACCTAAAAGAAGGCGATGAATGGGTCTCGATGGATTGCAAGGCTTTCTGGCAATGGAACGAGGCGTGATCTGAACTCGAAGAAGAGAAACAAGGAGACGCACTGAAGAGTAAGAAGGCTCAACGTCGTTTTCTTTTGCAGATTTTTGTTACGTTAGAATTGCAACATCGGAAGATTTTAAAAACAATGTTCCTACGCTCCTCCGCACCGGTGTTTCAAGCATCAAAATTGCCAACGGCTACTTTCAATTGTAAGTTCGGTTCAGTTCAGAAAACGTTGGTGACCCAATGTCGAACACGTGTTTCGCTTTTTTATGGGCATATGACAACGGCTACTTGCCTAAAGTTAATTTTACTTGGGTGGTTTTTGTCATTTCCTTTAATGCCTTACAATTAATATCAAAATATTAATTAGTTACTCCTTTCATCCTATTTGACAACAAAAAAATATATATAATAAATAAAGATAAACTTAATGAAATTTAAAGTTTTTCTTAATTTTAAGTTTTAAAATTCATTCAACACCTTAAAATATTTTTTTAGTGTATTTAATATCCCAAAACATTTGGTACTCCTCTAGTCTTATTTATAGGGTAGAGAGAGAAGACATTTTTTGGTCCTATTTATAGGGTATTGAGAGAAATTTTTTGTGTAGAAGTACAATTTTACCCCTAATTTATTATTATATTGACTTTATTTACATAAAATATAATGTATGTTAAATAGGGATAAAGTTAAAAAGTTATTAAATTTTAAATAAGAATTAATCAAATTTAAGATTTTTCTTAGTTTATGTGAAACATACTGAAAATACCTTATAAATAGGATAAGAAGAGTATTGTAGCACTCTAAATTAGATTTGGATGTGTATGGCATCTTAAAATAATAGGCGCAAAACCACAATAAAAAATAATTCAAAGTATAGGATACACTTGGAAAAAATATTTCAGTATATTGAATGCACATTTAACCTAATTTCAATGAAACAAAAGGGTCTAGTTGGAATAAGGAAAATAGACAAGAAGGGAGTGTGAATCTTAATGAATTCGATTTAAAAAATTGAGAAAATATGGTTACAAACTCTTAATTAATTTTTCTTATTTTTTGTTTTACATTTTTTTCTTAAAATTTTATAAATTATGATCACACTTTTCTAATCTTTTTAAAATTGAACTTATTAAAAAATTTTCTCTCCTCCATTTTCCTCACAAATAAAAAATCATTATATATCAACATTTTAAGATCACAAAATTATGCAACAGAACAACACTCCCTTGCATCAGTTTGTTAAGCAAATTAATGAATAATTAAATCATAAGGAATTAATAATACAGTGTGAAAAGAAATAAATGTGTTTAAATTTATTTTTTTAGAAATATTCATATTAATTATCTCACATAATGGTTGTATCAATGGGAATAGTGCTGACCTAATTAATGAGCATAAACCCGCATATTTTCAATTAATATAAAAAAAAAGAAATTAGTAGTCATCTGGTTCTTAATATATGACCTAATTGTTGAATTGAATTTAGTCCTAAATATAAGATTTATTTCTCATATTTATCAATTTTTCTTAAATCACCCTTATGGATACTCTCTCAACCTTAATCAAGTAAAAAAAAAAAGGAAGAATATTAAAAAAATGATTATGGTATTTTAGGAAAAGCTTGTTATATTTTTTTTATAATTAACTAACTTACCTAATTTTTTAATCTAATGAAATGAGTTAAATAGGTCTTACATTAAGGATCGGAGGAGCACGTGTTAGACATTTTGTATAATCTCGCACATTAAACTCTAAAAAATGAAAATAAATCAATTGAAATAAAAAAGATTAACAAAAACCCCTACTGGCGTCCATTTGTGATTTTGTGAAGCCAAACAATATCAACCATCACTTTCATGGTAAGAATCACTTCATACAATAACACCCCACAACTCTCGCCATAGAGAAGATGGCTACAAGGAAGTGGTATGGTTCCTTCCGAAGGGAAAGTTTAAATTTTGTAATTCCTTTTTGAGTGAAAATTTTCTAATTCTTTTTATATAATTTGATGTTTTATTATCTTTCTAGTATCTTGCTGACATGGAGAACTCTGGTAATGAGAGTTTTTTTTTTTATCTTTAATATAAAAGTTATTTACTTAATTTAAATAGATGGAAGAACTTCAATAAATTATTTAACTATAACAAATAATATGATGGTGTTTTTAAAATATCCTTATATAATATTATATTAGTTTCTAAATTATATAAATTAATTTAGTTTTATAAATTATATAAAATAATTTAGGAAAAAATCATAAATGTTAAAATTCAAAAGAAAAAAATTTAGAGATTATAAATACTTTTAAATAAAACGAAATAAAATTCTCTGATTTTGTATTTCGTAAATTATTATTAAAAAAACAGCTCATAAGTTCCAAACAAAACCTCAATTAATTGCAAAGCTCTTATCCGACCCTGTACTCTGAGAATGCCTCGAGGTCGGGGGAACGTCTTTAACTCCTTATCGTTATCGCAGGCCGTTGCCGTTCTTAGCAGGGAACCCCTCTCAGTCTCGCTCTCATTCCTCACTTCCAATTTGTATCTGCCTCTCCTTTTTACCTGCTGCTCCGGCCGCTGCCTCCTTCGTTTTTAATTCCGAACCACCGTCCCACGTTTCTCTGTTAGCCACCGCCGCCAACAATATCGCTATGGACGAGCTGAAGCTTTATTAGGTATATTTGTTTCTCACACTTCGGCCGACTTGATTCTAAAATGCTCTCTTCTTCTTTCCTAGTCAAGTCTACTGGTTGAACAATTGGTTTATCTTCACCTCTCGTTTTGCCCGTGCGATGTGTTTTCCCTTGCCTTTTGTGGCTCTCATCGGTTACAATTAGCATCTCCAGCTGCTCTCGGGCGGCCTTTTGTCGAACCGTTATATGCTTAATTATTGACATGACATTTTAAAATGTAGTTAAAGTGAGAAATGATTAAGGTCCAGCAGATAATCTCTAGTGTGGTGTGCTCATATAATGCTAAACGGCCAAATCGCTTCTATTTTCTGATTTTTACTTATTGCATATATCTTGGTCATTTTCGGTAACATGTCCAATGTGTACGTGCCTCCTGGGGAATGGAACCTCTCGTTTGGAGGAGGGAAAATGACTCTCATGCTATGCTGGTCCCATCTGCATCGTTCAAGTGATCTATTGATTCAAAAATGCCATTATAAGAAAGCACCTATGGCCAAAATAATTCCCAAGTACACTCTCGAGCATGACATTTTGTATGCCCTCAATCGCAAGCTCTACAAGTTGAAAATCTCAGATCTCTTCAGCTCTTGCTGCCATTAAACTTGTTCAAATTCAGAGTTTGAGGACAAGCTGGTTTTGCGCTCTTATTTTGTTAAGATGTCAACATTATGCTCTTTGTTTGTCAGCCTAAAATACATTCCTTTTTCACAAATTCAATCTCCCAAAATTAAGTTGAGACCCCTAGGTGAAGGTTACCCAACTATCCTCATAAACCAGCTTTTGTAGAGAGAATTAGGACAGAGATGAGAAGTCACATATAGGGCATCACCATGTGGGTACACCTGTCCATCTTGAAATGACTTGGACTTTTCACAGGCGGGGCTAGGCAACAAGTTGCAAAATGCATCCCGTTTATCCTTCAAACTGGGTATTGGGTAGGGGGCCCTTTCCCTGCCTGTGTAGAGTCCTACTTCGAGGTTGCAAGGGTTCAGCTCCACCCAAACCAGCACCTTGGTAGAAGCACTTTACCCTCACTGCTTCAACCCTCTCTTTTTCATCTCCGGCTGGTAAGATCTCCATTATCCCCATTCCATTTGTGGTGGCCAGCCAGTTCTGACATCAGTGAGGAATTTGCTGACCGTTCCTTGAAGGTTTCTATTGCTGAAACCTGGGGCTTGATTTCAGTAAGTTCTCTTGAGGTTAGAGATTTTTTCTTGTAAGGCTTGAAGCAACGAATGGCTCTGTCCTTATTTCCCCACTTCTGTATTTCCTGTAGGGGTTGTATAAATGGTAATGGGTTTTGCAGCATCTAGATGGGGTTTTTCTTAAATGGGTTCTGATAATGCATGAGCTTGAAGGCTCCATATATTCCTTTAATGGGTTCCCCAGAAAGCCCTTTTATGTGTGCCAATCAGACTAATTTGGTGATCCCAACTCCCTCTCCTGTTATGTTCCTTGAATTCCTTCACATTAAACTGTGCCTAAGTGTTCATAGATATGATATTTAAGAGTTTCAACTGACAAGAATATGTAATTTCCAGGTTTTTATTCTTTAGTTCTTTTCAGGGAGATGCAGAGATGAGTTATTGGTCATCAGCATCTGTTTTTAGTAATCGACCCATTCCGTTGTCTCCTGCAAGCACCAAATCTTATGTTACCATCATAAGTGGCACTGGTTTTATGTGTAGTCGAAGCCAAGGGAGGTGCTATCTCTCTGTTTCTGATAACCATTGTAAAATCAGGAGGCTCGGGATTTCTGGGGTACTTAAATCTAGACAAGGATTGACAGATTTTCAGGCGCAACAAGGAACTTGGGAAGAACCTGATGATGGCAGCGGCAGTGAGTATGATGAAGAAGAAGATGAGCAAACAGAAGACGAGAACTATGGCTTTGAAAGTGATTGGGAAGAGGAAGAGATAACGTCGTCAGCTGTTAATGGTGTTAGTTCAGTGGACAACTGTGAGGAGGATTTTAAAAAAGGCACTTTTTCTATTCCTATGTTTTTCATTGTTTTCATTTTGTTTTTAAACCTTATCTCTTTTGCTGTCAGACTTGGACTTCATGCTTTCAATATATTGTGGTGTAAGCAAAGAAGCTCCAGATTATGGAAGTTCTCAATTAAAGGAAAATGATTAAAGAAGGCTGACGAGTAGCATATATTTTTCCCCTAGACAATTTTCTATCTCTAAAACCGTACATTTTCATCCTTGCAGAGGTTGAACAGCTTTTAGAGCCTGAAGAAAGAGCAGTCTTGCAACAGAATGTTACTCCAAACTTGGAAAAAATTTCAACAGTATGTCAGAAACCATGCTTATTCGCACTGACTTGAACTTCTAATCTGTCGTTATAGTTGGAAAACTATACGCAGAACACACATTTGAAGGCCTACATACTACTTGCTGCATTTTAAGCATCAATAGATTTATCCAAGTTTCTTTTGTTTAAGAAAGCTGTGTGTTGAAAACTGCTTTTTGGGTCACTTAGCTCCCTTATCTCCATTCTCTAGGAAAAATGGAGCCCACTGCACACTTTAGCGCTATCAACACAGATAAAATGTATGGATCAACTGCTTGAGAGTGGTGTTGGTATTGATCTTAAGAATAAGGTGTGCTTCTTCATATTTTGGTTTACAAATGTGTGATGGTGTACAACAGTGTTTGCATAGATTTGATTTAGCTTATTTGATCAAGCAGGAAGGTCTCACTGCACTTCATATAGCTATCATAGGAAAGAAAGAAGCTGTAATAAGCCATCTTTTACGGAAAGGTGCAAGTCCTCATGTCAAGGACAAGGTAAGGGTACATCTTGACATAGCTTCCAAAGCTGCTGACTGCTTTTCAAAGAGCATTGGTATTCATATAGTCATTGCTGTAGTAGGATGGTGCTACCCCTCTTCATTATGCAGTTCAAGTTGGTGCCAAGCAAACTGTAAAGTTATTGATCAAATATAAGGTTGACGTCAACGTTGCAGATAATGTGAGTCTTTATTAAAAGAGAGATTATTTTTTTGTTCATAGAGATATTTTTCATGTCTACTCATTGTGTATGACTGAATTTTTAGGAAGGATGGACTCCGTTGCACATTGCTATCCAAAGCAGAAATAGAGATATTGCAAAAATTTTGTTAGTCAATGGTGCGGATAAGACACGGAGAAACAAGGTAACTTTGTTTTACATTCCGCTGAAGCTGTTCTTATGGTTCAGACCTGCTACAAATCCGTTTGTATTTTCTACCATTTAGATTTATTCTTAGCATTATTCAGTGTTGGAGGTTCTTGTTGGTCCATCGCTTCCTTTGTGTTTTGAATTCCTGTTCGTTATGGGCTCTTTGGACTATTTATTAACTTCTGCATTATAGAGTACTAAGGCATTATCACTTTTGCTGGCATGCCTGTATTTGTATCCATACTAGATACAAATACAGATCGTTACAGATTGGTGAGATTCTGCTCTAAAACCATGGTATTAATATTATTTGCTGCAATTATGAAATTTGGTTTTAGTATATAGAAATTGATACGTTTTCTCAATTTAATTCTGATAGATTTATCAAATATATACACATACATATATAACTTTAAAATGTTATATGTAGGTTGTGCATGAGTTCTAAAGTGAGGATATTTTGATTTATTTTATTTTACAATTTGGTGATGTCAGCTGCTCCCTTTCCTATGTAAATCTTCATTTCGTCACTGTCTATGAGAAACCTGAAATGAACTCTGTCGCTAAAAGAGTATCCTGAGAACTGATTCGTGATTGAACTGTTTAGATTCATAGATTCATATATCCAAATAGAAATAGTGGTACAAAAGAAAGTAGCTGTATGTGAAACTTACGCTTATGACTCATCATTTTCTTTTTAATCTTTCATGTATATACTACTCCTCCTGGGACAGACCTATTTAACTAATTTAATTAGATTAAGAAAGTTAGGTAAATTAGCTAATTATAAGAAATATGACATGTTTTTCGTAATTAACAAAGTTAGGTAAATTAGCTAATTATAAGAAATATGACAT